AAAACTACTGAAGACATCAGAACAAGTGTTGATACAAAATACAGCTATTCTGTAAGGTCTGTTTCTGTGATGGCATGGCTGCTTTCTGCATCTGGTCATAGTAACACAGAGTATTTGACAAGCAGTAATGTAGTTCTGGTTAAAATAATGAGGTAAACACGAAGCAAGAAATTTGGCATGAGTCAAATTAGTCAAAAAAAACCCCCAAAAAACAATTAGTCAATACACACTACTAGAAACCTTCAGTCTTTACAAAGCTGTAACTAGAGTTTGCAGAAAAACATTTTAAAATGCTTTTCTCACTTTTCTTTTTATTCTATCATTTTCTGTCCTCATTCTACATTTCTTCCTTTGCTTCTCAGTGTCTTGTAAACAACTTCTAAAAGCAACTCCCTGCTTTATCTTCTCTTTCTACCCAAAACACAATTATCTGCAATCCCACCTTGTTTTTGCATCTTCCTCAGGGCAAAAATTGTATTTCACTCCTTGGCAGCTACAGAAAGATGAGCTGTACAAGAAAAGATACACTTTTTGGGTGGGTACCAAGACAGCACTGGTGCTTGATAGCAGATGTTTTGCAGGTACTTGGAATTTATCTGCTGCAGCCTCAGGCAGGATGGGAACTACACTATGTTGGCTGCTGTAAGCAAGCCAGAAGAATTGCTGTCCCTCCTTACAAGTGCCAGCAGCAAAGAAAACCAAAAGCAACAAAACTTCCATTATTTAGGAATGCTTATTTCTAAAAGTTGAACTGGCACAACAACCTAAGACCACAATTAACAAAGGCATGGTTACAGAAATTTGCATGCTGTCACAGCACATGTGGACTGGTAACTAAATACCCTATTTTCAAGTATAGTAACAAGAGACAAATGAAGGCAAAGAAATACACAAATGGTGTAGGGCCTTTAGGGCCCTCCACAGCTGCAAACCTTCCTAAAATCACCTTTGATCCTAAAGGCTCTGAGAGTGTTTCTATGTCAGATACACAAATGCCAAGACAGATCATCTTTTTGCTTCAAAATCCATATGCAACAGCTGACTTCTTATTCCCAGTAGAAGCTACTTGTCACACAAATTATGAGGTAAAATCAACAATCTAATCAGATCTGACAAAAAGTGGGCCAAAAAAATTAGAATTATGATGATAAGGATATGAAATATGGATTTGCATCTACCATCATTAATGATGAACCTCACTCTAAATACACATTTTGCCTTGAGATATTAGATAATGATAATATGAAGCCATCATGATTAGCAAGATATTTAAAAATTAAGTACCCAGTGAGGTGAGGACAAATCTTATGCTCAATTTCTTCAAGTCATGTGATACTTAATATAGTACTTCACTTAAAAAAACCCCAACCCCCTGAACTCAATGGCAAACCTTCAAAAGCCTTTTTAAAGATTTCTTACTTTGCAGCAAAAGAGACAAAGGCATTTAGCATGAGAGACCATTTGGTTTTCCTACTGCAGCAAAAAATGGCTGAAATAATACATGGAAGACAATCTGGCATTCCTTTGTCAGCAAACATTGCTGGAAAACTCACAGAAAACAGCTGAAGATGTGAGGGAACAAGGATTAGAACAAATTATGCAGTGTGGGAGGTGTGCTACACTGTTGGCTGGCCTTACAGATGTTTCCTACATGCCTCATGATAGGGTATATGCTGGATTGTTCCACCAGTCAAACACACTGGGAACTTCTCTTTTGTGAGCCACTCCAGGAATGAGGTATCAAAGTAAACTCAACAGCAAATTATTTCTTTATTAGAAACAATGTTTTATGAGAAAAGTGTGCAAGTGTACACTTATGTGATTTTATCTGTAACCTTTACACCGGAATCCTTTATTTTGTATTCCAGTTAAAGCAATCACTCCATAACCACACATGAAAATCTTTCACTGCATCATTCACAGAAAAACCAACACAGCAACACTGGAGGCAGGAGTGCACCAAGTGCTCAGGATGTCATGGATTATGTAATTTTATAAAAATAAGAGCTTCCAGCAGTAGAATACCTTGTAACAAGATGGGGAGTGACCACACAATTCCCACTCCCACAGTAAGTTTTGCTGGTTATGTTGTGGCAAAGGGCCTAACAGAGTTGTCACACCTAATGACACACCATGTGTTTTTTCCTACAAAGGCAACTGCTCAAAACTGCCTGTTCTTTTCTGTGCTGAAAAGGGGCTGTCTGCACTATCCTATTTACCAGATATTTTCAAATAAATACACACCTAAGGTGTCCCTTCAAGGTGAAGCTGACAGCCTGTTTTAACAGGCAGCAAGAGGGTAACTGCTTTCCAGAGGAAACTCACTTTACAGAGACTGTTTTGAAAATAGATGTTTGCAAATGTGTCCGCTGAAAAAACCTCCTATAAAAACCTCTGAAAGCTGTATATAATTTACAAAACTTGAAAATCTTTTTTAAAACCCCAACACTGTTTAAAAATCTTCCAAAGGAAGTGCTTCAGGAAAAGAGAAAAATGCAACATCTTCCCATTAGTCTGCAAGAAGAACTGACTGGCGTCAGGGAAGGCAGAAATTTAATAGATGAATTCCAAGAAGAATCTCTGCATAATTAGTGTATGGGAGTGGGAAATTAGTATCATTATTTAGTAAGCACCAACAAGGCACTTCTTCCACTTGGATCTGTCGTTGTCAGGCATCTTATTTGGCTTGGAAAGTCATTAAAACAAGTACTGGACTAAATTGAACCTAGAACCAACCCTTAAAATGGCTGTATACAAGTGATGAACCAACATTTTAAAAAAAACTTTGGGAGGCACATTCAATTACATAGCTCTCACTAAATGATTCCTAAATGAAAGTAAAAAAATGGGTTTTGTTAAAAAATAAAACATCTTTTATTTGTCTTATCTTTTATTAATTCCTCATTTTTGTGTGTGTTCTGTAATGTGTATAATAATAGTTGAGTAGTATGTGTGCAAATTGATTAATAATATAGATATATTTTGGTGTGTGTGCTCACAAATCTTTTACTGGTAAGGGTGTGAGATCAAAAAAAAAAAAAAAACTTTCTAAACTATTGCCTTGGTAGGCTGGCAATATTATCCCAGAGAAGTTAAGGCAATGGCTGATTATACTAAAATCCACATGGAAACATTTGAACTGACCCTTTACATGTCCAGGTTTACTACATGCAAAGCCCTCACTTAAAACTCATTACATCCCCTCCTCAATGGATTTGTTCTGTATTTAATCCCCAGTCTGCTCTGCCCAAGCTCCCAAGGCAAAGTTAACTGCCCTTTCTTCACAGCTTCTGCTTTTCTGGACACACACCTACACCCATCAGCTGCTTTGAAGTCTCATTAGTACCACAGTGCAGCTGGACAGACAACGCAGCAAACAGCCAGGCTTATCTGCACCTTACTCACAACTGCAAACACAGCCACCAATTATTTTTATTTAATTAAAAAACACCAAATATTCCTCAGAGTTGGGACATACTACAACATCTTGGGTTCTTGCCTGGGGTCTGTACATCCTCAGCTATTGCAAAGAAATATTTCCAAAGAGTACCTCAAACATCACAACAGTGATCTCATTTCCCACAGCCTTTGCACTTTTCAGCTGTAGCTGGACACTGATATCTTCCCCCCTGTCCCAGTGCCCTTAGTGATACCCTGACCCAGGGGACATCACTGGCTCCTTTTGCTGGGCCCTGCATGCTGCCTGTGCAGCAGTGACTCCCACCCAGCCCTTGCCCCAGGCAGCTCACACATGCCCCTGTCAACAGATATGTCCTTGTACCACAACAAAAAATCATCCAAGAAAATCTTGCAGTCACAAATGACAAAGAACTACAAGCATTACAGAAATTGCTAGCTACAGTAAACTGAAATATTCAGGTTGGACCTCCTGATTTCACTTATTCATAGATCCATTGCTAATTTTTGATTGTCATGGTGTCTAAACATCCTCATTGGGTTTAAGGATGGTGCCCATCAGCCCTACACCAGCATCACACCCCTGAGACCATCCCTCCTGCTACCACAGGCCTTCTCTCAAACACGCACCACCATTCTGTCAGACACTGACAATCTGCCTTTCCTGCTGCTGTTCTGCCTGCCAAGTGCCACCTTGCCATTCCCTGCTACACAGTACTTGGCACACACAAATTGAACGAAGGTAAAAGGTACTCACTGTAAATTACTTTAGGCCTAATTAATGTTTCCAGCTGAACAAATTCAAGCCAGCAATTTTTGGATCTGTTTTATGCTTATACTTATGTCAACTATACACAAAGTTTAAATCTCACATTCCAGAAAAATCAGAACTTTCCTGATAGTACAGAAGATGACTGAAACCAAACCACAGGATAGGCTGGACTTGAGGTTGCTGAGACAAAGGGTTACTCACCACATTACAGCTATCAACTCTCAAGAAAAGTCAAGAGAGATCATTATATGAAAATAAACAATATGTAATAAGAAAAGGATTACACAACTGAAGACAATGCCACTGTTTAAGAGGTTCTCACACCACTACACCAAATACTTCAGCAAAAACTAAACTCTTCTACATATTAAAGCAACAAACCTACCACAGCTGGCAAATGTAAATTGCTATTCAACTCAAAAAAGTCATCAGTCCATGTAGTACCATTGATTCTTTATCACCTCAATTGTTATTGACTGTGATTTAGAAGCCTGAGAGTCTGCTGCTTGCTCCTGGGTTATATGCCACTTTTCCACAAAAATAAGAAATCTCAACCTTACAAAGTTGCCAGAGACAAAGACACAAGGTTCATTTACAATTCACTTCAGACCATACTTTCTTCCTGCTGCCTGAACACAGAAAGATGAGCTACCTACAGAGAATGAAAGGAAGGCAGTTTCAGTGCCAGCCTGGCCCATCTTGGCAGGAAATCCACTGGAAGCTGCCAAGTAAAGGGACTACAAGTAAGTCAGCACAGTAATACTGTAAAGATATTTTAAGACAAGACTTACTGTTGTATAGTCACCCTCACCTTGTGAAGTCAGTGCATTTTCTAGCTTTATGAAGATGCTTGAGTAAAAAGGTGCTGGAGCTTTGAGAATCGAGGGGGTGGATCTCTGGGGATGAAATTCCAGCTTGCAACTGGAAGTGGAAAATATCAAAATGTTATCACAATTGCTTCAAGTATGCAGGCTAATTCAAACTCAATTCCAAGATAAGCATGTGTGCACACAGCACACCCAGGGAAATGCTTCTCTGACTACTGTGAAATGGGTTTTCAGCAGCATTAGCAGGGACAGCGAGCTACAAAATTCATTGTACACGGTTAAAATCTGGTGTTAAAACCAAGCACAGGGCTCCTTACCCCCCTCTCACACTCAAGCATCCCAGCCTCACTCCAAAGGTGGAGCTGCCCTGCACTCAGGGACAAAAGGCACAACCCCGAACACTGATCAGAGCCAGGATTGCACCACATGCTGTGAATCAGCACTCACACATCTAAGGAGCCCAGGCTACCTTCCAGGCATCCTTTGTGCAAAAGGAATAGACTGTTTAATCACAACAATAAAAATCAAGTATAAAGGAGCTTAAGACGCAGCATGATGTCCATAACCATAATCTCATCCACTGAGTTGCAAAACCCTAGATTATTTTGCTTAACATAGCCTCTGGAAGTTGTAAGATGAACTACTCTGAAAAAACCCTCTGCTTTATCATTTGCATCTCCTTTGCCCAAAAATTTTTGCAGTTCAATTTACTGTGTATTTAAATAACCATACGTAGCCAAAATCAGAACCCTGGAAGCAAAAACCTGCATTCTCCTTCAGGAATACCTGACACTGCAATTTCCACCTCCAGTTGCCCCAAATGAAACACTGAAATCCAAAAGTAAACAAATGAAACATAACACTGCTTTATTCAGACAGCCTCCCCCCATGTGCAACAACACCCAACATTTTGCTTGCTGTTCTCAATTTGCATCAGCATTCTATTGTCTGCAGAAACATGCATAAGCAGGCTTGCCAAAAATTTTAAGGATTCAAAAGCAGGGAGGAGAAAAGAATTTCTGAAAGCTGGTACAGTGGTCTGTAAAGACATTCACACTTCTTCCTTAATTAGGGGCTGGTGCAAAGGCAGCATCTGGAAAACACTGCTTAGCAAGAAACTCTTCATATTAAAAAAAATAATATCAAGATATCTACGTATTCGACAGCTTATCAAAATCTCCAAAGGTCAGATAGGACTGGCAGCTGAGAATCAACTCAAATGGTGTTTTCAGTACCACATTGCTAAAATTATGGATTGTAGGGATACTTCAACAATGGTATTGCTCATATTGCATGAACATACAATATTGATAACCCAAGAGTTATCTGACACTACAGTGCCACAAAAAGAGGTGAGATGTTTGAACTCCTGTCTAGATGTGGTGACTAATTAAGCACTGCCATTTTTGCAAACCATCTGGACTGCATTTGCACAGGTTTAATAGATACAGATCATATAAGCCTATAAAGCAACAATCCAAATATTAATGCATCAGAACATCCTTGCTATGGGCAGTCAAATCTTTGTAGAAACAACACCAAATAAATGAAAGTTTTCACAGCAAAACTTCCAAGTCTCATGCAGTTCAAGCTATGCCAAGCTAGACAGTTCTAGAAGCCCACTTCTTCCACTCCAAAATAAGGCTGGGATTCTGCTCTAGTGGTGCTTTGTACTGATAGTTATATTTATAACTGCAGATGGATTTCCTAATATAAGTAGAATTCAGTCATTGCATTAGCTGGCAAATGATGAAAGAAGTCTAAGTAAAACTGTAAAACAAACCAAGCTCAGAGTAAAATGACTTAATCCTCTGCAGTTCAAATGCAAGTTCATCTTCCTCGATATTGTCTGCTTGTAAGCAATCTGTCCATCACACACACCACAAAACCTCTCACCCTCTCAGGCACTACTACAGTGCAATGGCAATGTTTCAAATCAACCTAAATTAGGCTGTACCACATTCCATTACATGATATCATGCAACAGATGTTACTCCAAGAACACACAGGACAATTATTCAGGATAAACTCCTGTAATCTGAATGGTAAAATGAATGGGTATCCCATGAACTGGCTGTAGACTTTATCTAACTTTATACAGAGATTCAGAACTTGAATACTATTCAAGCTTGCCATAGTTAACCCACTTAGATTGGCAACCAGAAACAAGAAGTATTCTTATCTTACATAAGCTCAATAATTTTGTCACTAATAGATAAGCTAGAATTCCACTTAACCCTTTAGTCCTGCAGTGACCAGTGAGTTAAATGAGGCATTAGGAAACTCAAATGAAATGTACTTCCAAGAACCAAGAGACACTCCCCCTCCCTCCTCAGCTGGGTGATAACCTTGAATCTCCCTTGAAAATGCCACATTATGAAAATTAAAGCAGGAATGGCAGTTCAGCCAACTTAACTCTCAGTTAACTTGTCTAACAGCTGTGCTGTTGGAAGCATGGCTGACCAATATGCCATAGAGATATGAAAGCTTTTCATATAGTACAATTTGAAGGTATTTTTAATTAACACTGGCAGCTTGCATTCCTACTTAAAACACACTGCCATAAACATATAAATAAGTCATGTTTTACACGAGCAAGAGCAATCTCGGAAATATGGTGCTTCTTTGTTTTTAAATCATAGGGACATGGTTCCATGGCCATTGGGCTCTTCTGAGAATGCAGAACTCCTCAGCACCTCTAAGTAACAGACTTCCAAACCCAGAACTGCCTTGAAATTTAATATGGCTCAAACTTTGCCACAAAATACAGGTCTACAAAATACACTTTAAAAATACTTGGAGGGAAGTGGACAATTGTTTAATCTGGCAAGAGATTTTTTTTCAATCAATGAACATTCCCACAATCTTCCTAACTAGACGTCATAGCAGCATTTTAGCACACAAAAAGTGAAGCCTAAATGAAAAAAAAGGCTGAAATGAAACAGCTAGTCAGCAGAACAAAAGCGCTACGGAAGGTGAGCATAAAGGCAGCAGAGGCCCCAGCTCTCAGTAAGGTGTTCCCATGCAGTGACACTGTGCCAGGCTCAGGGCACAGCGGCAAGGCTGCACACAGAGACAGAAACATGCCGGGAGGGCACGGGAGAAACAGAGGGATCGGGGCACACAGAACCCCAGTATGTGCTAGGAGAGCACGGGAGAAACAGAGGGATCGGGGCACACAGAACCCCAGTATGTGCTAGGAGAGCACATACTTTCATCCCCAGAGGGACCGGGGCACACAGCAGAACCCCAGGCGGGACGCGCACAGCCCCGCTGCAAGCGCACAACGCCGCCCGGCACTCAGGGAGGTTTAGCGCTTTGCTCGCCCCGGACACGAAGGCCCACCGGGGCAGGCAGCCCGGAGCGCTGGAGCCCTGCACGGCCCAGGCCGGCCCGAGCACAGCGGGGCCGGGGAGCAGCGCCCACCCACCCCCGGCTGCGCCGCGCAGGGGCGGCCGCGTCCTTCCCTCCCTCCGGGATGGCCCCACGGGACCGCCCCGCGCCCAAAGCGAGCCTTCCACCGCTCCCGTGGGAAGATGCGGACACAGAGATGGATACAGATCCACGCATATACAAACGCGGCAGGAGCGTCCTTGGGAGGTCGTCACTTCACCACGTATTGCGAAAAGGTTTTTTCTACATCGCGGTCGCCAATAGCGCCCAACAGCGAACAGCTCCGTTCCCCGGGCAAGCACAGCTCCGACCCGGCCACGCCACGCTCCCCCAGGCATGATGCGAGGGGCCGGCCGAGCCAGCACCTGCCTCCTATTCCAGCCCTCCACGGCACAGGGAAATGCCGAGAGACCGCTGTCTCCCTCTCATGCCGGCCCGGCTCCTGACGAGCGATAGGTGAGCCGAGGCCGCTCTCCCCTCCCGGGGCTCAGCCCACACGGCACCGGGCCGGGCTGTTGCTGTCCCCCCTGGAACCAGCAACTTGTTGTGCAGGGAGCGCTGCCCGCGGGCTGCAGCGAGCCTGCCCGGGCGCTGCAGGGAGCGGCGATCGGCGGCTGCAGCCGCTCGGAGCAGCCCGCACCGAGAGCCCCGAGCAGCCGAGCGGCTCCGCGCTGCCGCCGCTCAGCCCCGCGCCGAGTCTTCCCCCTCTCGGCGGCTCCGCACAGACCGCACGCTCTATGCAATGTGCAACGGCGGGGCAGGACGAGGGTCCTCGCGGGCTCCTACCGGGAACGCTGTTACTGTGGCATTGCGGAGCGCCTGAGCCCCGCCGCGCTCTCGCTTCCTTCCTTCCCCCCGCTCCCGCCGGCTCCACCACCACCGCCGCCGCCCGCAGCCGCCGCCGCTGCGGACTCGAGGCGCAGACCCCCGGCGGGGAGGGCAGGAAGCGCGTCATCACTCCGGGCCGCTCCACCGCCCTCCGCCCGGCCCGGCCCGCTCGGGGGACCCGCGGCTCCCGCCCCGCGCCCGGAGAGCGGCGGGAGCAGAGCCCGCCTCACCTGAGGGGCCGGAGCTCCCCCGCACCTGGGCCTGAGGGAGAGGCGCCTCCGCCGGCCGCAGCCCTCACCCAGGCGGGGAGGTAGCGTCGTTCTCGCTCTGCCCGCCCGGCACCGCGGCGGCCCGGGCACGGCAGCTCCTCGGGGGAAGGAGGAGGAGGGAAACCGGAGCAGCCCCTGGGGGAGGAGAGAGACCCCGCAGGGCAGGACCCAGCACCGGCGGGGCACGAGGCGCCCCTGAGGCAGGGACGGAGCGGAGCGGGGAGAGGCGCGGCCGCAGGTGCCGGAGCAGCCCCGACCCCCGCCCAGCGCCCCGTGCCGAGCCTTTACGGTCACGGCATCCATTAGGGTGGAAAAGACCACTGAGGCAATCGAGTTCCAGCTTAGGACCGAACACCACCTTGTCAAACAGACCATAGCACTGAATGGTGCCGGACGCCTCTTGAACGTCTCTAGAGATGGTGACTGCACCACCTCAATATATTCATACAAATATGAGAAAATAAGTACCTACTCCAGCTTAGGTCCCTTACATGAATTAGTGCCATATGTACTGGGGCCTTAGTAAAATTGCAACAGTCAAAAATCATGCAGTTAAAATAATTTCACCTGATTTAGCTGAAGTACAGTCATAGTAAATATTTTTACTTGTAACTAACTTAAAAGAGCTACATCAGTATACAGCTGGTTTTGCCTTTCAGAGTAACCTTGCTCCAATAAATTAACCTTAAGACACTAAACTCACAATGCATGGTGACACAGTCCAACACAGCTACACAGCTTGGATCAAAGCACTTGGTGGGCATGTTCAAGGCAGTAAAACCCAACCAGATTATTTTATACACACACCCTGCAGAATTAAAAGCATCACAATTTCAACAGGTTGTCTTTTCCTGCCACCCTGTTACCCTGAGCTGTGCCAGCTTTATCAGACAAGAGGTGTCTGCTCTGTTAAAATAGAAGCTACATAGGATTTACCTCATAACTTGCCAATACTTGACAATATTATGAGTTTTACAAATGAGTTATTGTTATCATCTGTTACTAAAGAGATACTATCCAACGTGTTATTAAAAGAAGTGATAACTAAAGTGTTTTTTTTGTGGTTTAGAGGTACTTTTGCACATGCAAGTTACCTGTGAACAGCCATAATATTTACATAAAGAGCAGTTTGGCATGTTTTGGTTTGTTGGCTGTTTTGTTTGGTTTGGGTGTTTTCCTGGCCTTTTACTACCATGATGATAAGCTTCCAACAATGTGGTTTTCCCTGGGTGGCATACAACTTAAACTTCCCTCTAAAAAAATAAATAATGATGCATTTCATTCTTCTCTTCATGCAGTATTATCCTATTTTCTGGCTGCAATACTGCATCAAGAGAAACTTCTTGTACAACATGACTGTTCTTGGTAGCATTATATTTTTCTGCCTTCACTTTAAAATCTTTTCCTAACCTGTGTGTTCTCTCACATAGTAACATGCAAGGCCACAATTGCAGTCTCTGCTGCCCTTGTCACTTCTGTGTTCTTCTGTTTCCTCTCAGCTCCCAGGAAGGCTGTTTAAATCCCTGTGCTGCACTGAGCTCCAAATAACTCCTTTGAGATTTCAGCAGAATGTCAGTAAAATCCCAAAGAACAAACGTTCACCACAATATGGAGTGCAACGCCAAGACCAGGCTCCACTGTGTCATTTCTGTGTCTTGCTCCTCCCAATACCTCTGTGTGCCTGGACACATTTACTGTCTCCCTTTGTGCCAAACCAGCTTTTTTTTTCCTCCTTATATTGTATCATATCAAATACAAGGTGGTCTGAGCACATACCTGCATTCTACAGTAAGAATCCTTGATAAAACTAATGCAATAATAAATGAGATATTCTGTCAATCTGTTGTGAGGATTCAGCTTTTGTTATTTCAGTAACAATTCAAGGCTTATTTGTATTCAGAGAATACTTTAAGGCATTCTATTGGACACCTGACTTCTAAAGTTGCTTTTTTCCTGGCATCCCACTATTCAAACACTTCATCTTTCCATCCTCTTATTACCAAACCCCAGAACTTTAGGGTAAGTGTGTTTTATCAGAGAAAGAATTACAACAATCTAATGTCCTCCTCCAGCGTGGGTGTGGTGTGTGAACATCAGGATGTCTCCAGTGGTTTTCCTTTCCCACAGGTCAGGAGACAGACATTAAATGGTCTCCCAAAAGAGCCGTGAAGCACCCTCCCAAACTGCCCCTAAATGCTGTCATACTTGTCATACTTGTTCACAGCCCTCTGTTAATCCTGGTACTGCAACTGCTTTAGCATTCTGGCCCTCAAAACATCCTGTGGAAGGAAGAGAGCAGCACTGGCATATTTACTGATGTTTGGGTGAACCAGTCTGGGTGCAATGCAGTACATTATAAACAATTTTCTCATCTGTCATGTCAGATACATTTTAAATCATTGTCTCAGAACAAGTCCATTAAAATGTAGCCTAAATCATACCCAAGCCTGTAAACTAGATTCTCAGTGTGTGACAAGACAATTTTAATAATTACACTGGATAGCTTAGAAAGATATATTGAAGACATTTATAAAAGTGACCTTTATAATAAGTCAGATTTCTCCTTGGTAAGTAATAACAAGCATAGTTCAGCACTGCCAGTATCACTTTGGCATTGCAGGTGGGGATGGTTCTGAGAGCAGAGCCCTCAATGGCCCTGACCAACCTCACCTGGGGCCTCCACCCACACCCAATGTAAGATCAGTCCTGAGCCTGGGGCTTCTTGGCTCTGCTTTATTGGTGCAAGTTTCTCTAGAAATTTGGGTTCTTTGTTGAGCTTGTCTTCTGTGCTGATAGCTGTCTTGTAACTCTTGGTTTTATACTGCAGGGTGGCTTCTGGGATTTGTTCTTTTGTTTTGCTGGGTATGGTTTTGGTTTTTTTCATTTGTTAAAATCCTTGGACTAGGGAATATTGCAGTTTTTTGGTGTACTTGTTCTGGTATTCTGCCAGTCTTACTAGGAAACTTCAGTGGCCAACAGGTTTGTGGTGCTAACCTGTCCAGGTCTGTGGGGCTATTTCAGAAGGGTTCTTTTTATTCTGCTCCTTCTACTTACAATAAACAAATGGGTTATAAACTAGGCTTTATTATTGAAATTGTAACTTCAAAGTCTGAAATATTTTCTTTGCTCTGCTTGACACCTATTGAGGTGTTCATAGAAAGACTATTTCTTTGGGGTTTTGTACTCTTCTTTGCATCATTATAACTTTATGCTTTTCAATGTCCATTGCAGCTCTCTCCCGTGTCTTTTTAGCTTTAATTTGTGAATCCAATTAGCTCTCTAGCTGATCTCTCCTATTCTGATACTGAGCTGATTAATTTCTAATTGGTATTTGTATTTAAGCTTTTAATTTTCTGTTTGAGTCCTTCTTTACCAGCTGAGTTTATTGACAGTGGAGCATATCTTCAGATTATTGCCATCATTCTGGATTCTTTAGCCTGTTCCTCAGTACTCACAGGTATTTTTAACTGCAGTGCTTACTTCTGCTGGTTTGGTGTTCTCTTGATCCCGTGGTGCCTGGTATTGAGCAGTTCATGGGCTTTAGGAGGATTAAATCATCTTGAGGTTTATTGCTGCCCTCTGACTTCATCAGAGCTGTAACAATGTTCTCCTTGGGCGGCCTCCCAAACCTCCCTGAGCTGAGGGGCAGCAACCTGAGCTGTGCTGCAGGTGGGCAGGGCACAGGGGAAGGAGGAGCCTTCTCATTTCCTTCCCCATTGCTCACCCCCGCTGGAAGCTGCCAGGTATCCACCAGCAGAGTGAAACAGCATCGGCCACATCTTGTGTCCAACATGCAGTGAAGGTTTAGTGAGTTTGTGGGTGACAATTTTGCTGCTTGCTTGATGTAAATACTGTCTTTCTTTCTGGCAACATCCACTTTATTCCATACCATTGCACTGTACAAAAACCACAGCATTACTGTGCTACCACAACCATGTTCTTAATTTACATGGGCCTCTTTATTCTTGTGTCTGTAAAATTTTCACTGTTTCTGCTAAAGATCCAGTTCTGTAAGGAAGTAGGTAATGGGTAAGAGGCATTCTGTATTGCTGAATGTTACTGTTTGGATTTGCACAGTAACTCTCAGAAATTATTTTATTAGAAAAATAATTCTTTGTATGTCAATCCTTAAAGAAATGTTAAATAACTGAAGGGATCCTGTCCCTCTCATCTTATGGTAGAGGATTACAGTATTTTATGGAATGCACAGCAGTTTAGCAGTCTTGTTGTGATCTAACAATTTTCCCCAGCTCTACTAATTCTAGTTTTGATGAAAGGACAATGTGTTCCCTGTTAAGGCACAATCAGCTGATCTTAGAAAACTCATTTTCTAGCTTTGTGGTTACAAGAATACAACATGGAAAAGAAATTGTATTTCTCTTTTATGCGGGTTATAGCTGCAAAAAAGTTATCAGCTATTTCTAAATGAAAAAATAAATTTATAGGGTTGACATTATTGGTAAGGAGCACTCAAGACCAAGACTGCAGAAAACAAAGAGGGTATTTTGGTGCCTATACTTCAAGGGAATAGCTACAAGAGAATGAAGGATAGGATTTTAATATAGATTGAGATACCAAAAAAAATGTAATTCCTGGCCAAGTTAATGGGACGCAGGTTTGGGGGTGTGGGAGGTCAGGACACTAAAAACCAGAGTGGCATCCCTCATAATTGTGTGTGACACAGCGCCTGCAGTGGCAGGGTCATAAATTGATCCTGTAGTCAAGGTGTCTGTCTGCCCTTGAGCAGCCAGGTTTTCTGAATATTTCTGTATCATCAGAAAAATTCTGACTCCCTACCAGTGTGTTCTGTCCCTCAGAAGACAACCCAAGTTGCCTTTTAGTTATTC